ACAAAACAAAAAGGGCTGGGGATTTAGCTCAGTGATTCTGCCACCTGCCTCACAAGCGCAAGGTCTGGAGTTCAATCCCTGGTACCCCCCAAAAAAGAGGGCTGGGAATTACCTCAGTGGTGCTGTGTCTGCCTTGCAAGTGCAGGGTCCTGAGTTTGATGCCTGGTACTGGAAAAAAACCCACAAAAAACAAACCCCAAAAAGGCAAAATCCAAGTTGAAGTGTTATAGAATTCACTTATTGGACAAAACACTAGGGGCTAGCTAGCCTTTTAGGCTGAGGAAATTATACTTATGAAAGCAAACGTGAAACAGCATAACCGGGTAGACTATAAATAAGGTAGGGTTAATGGAAAATTAAACTGAACAGGTAGGCAATGTTAAATAATTTGGACTTCATCCTATAACAGTTATTGAGTAATTTGCTTGAGAATGGAACAAATATTTCACATATATCATTTATAATCCTCTTGACATCATGAGATAGATATAATTATCCCCATTTTATAAATGAAAACTGAGGCTTAGGCTTCGTAGTACACTGTGGCTATTCAGTGGGTGGAAAAACCCGGGATTTGTATACAGCTCTTGCTCATTCCAAGGCCAGTGTCCTCAACCACCATGTAAGTGTGCCGGGCAGAGGTGGGCATCCTAGAAGGTGTTCAGTGTGGCCAGTATGTGTCTGAGAAAAATAGCGCGTGGCAGGGTGGAGGGTGTAGTCGAGCAAAGGTGGACTGAAAGCATAGAGGAGAGTTTTCTTAGTGATGGTCTATCGGAGAAAGGTTGAGAACCCCAACCCCAAGTGTGCCCTGAATGTAGAGCTGGAGAGGGGATGGATATGAGGATTGAGAGGATTTAGTGATAGTTTGGTGGGATGAGGTAGAGTTTTTCAGTTTGGGGAACTGGTGTTTCTATTAAGAAAAAGAGGGCCGGGGATTGAGCTCAGTGGTTTCACTGCCTGCTGCGCAAGCGCAAGCGCAAGGACCTGAGTTCAATCCCGGTACCAAAAAAAGAAAAGAAAAGAAAAAGAATACTGCAGAAGAATGGGTTGCAGGAGAAAATAGGAGTTCAGTTGTGGACACATAGGTAGGAAATGGAAATGTGTTTAGAATGTGTTGGGGGGGGTAGATAAACAGGTGGATCTTGAGTGCTAGAGAGAGCTCTAGACTGCAGGAGAGATTTGGGAATCATTAATAGCTGGTGGTTAAAGTCATGGAGGGAATGAGAAGGTCAAGGACAACTGTCGTGAATGCCAGCTGCTGCCAAGAGAACGAGAGAATTATGCCAAGGTTTGAGAGCACTCGAGGGAGCAAATGGGTGGCAGGGGTAGTGCCACGGAGATCAGATAAGGACATAATGAAAAACGTGCTTTGGGGTTGGCAAACGGAAAGCCGTTGGTACGCTCAGGATTGTTGGTAGCACGAAGGGGGCAGACATAGGATTTCAGCAGGTTAATAAAGGACGGAGAGCTGAGGGACAAGGAAGGTAGTGGGGTGCAGCTTGACTCGGGGAGGGAGAAATAAAGGACTGGAGATACAGAGAGGGGAAGGGGTATTCTGATTTTCTAATGTAGAAACTGGATAAGGTGAGGAGAGAAGCAGTTAGAGGTAAGTTTAAAAATGTGGAGACTCGGGCTGGGGATTTAACTCAGTGGTGCTGCCGCCTGCCTCGTAAGCACAAGTTCCCGAGTTTGATCCCTGGTACCAAAAAACAAACAAACAAACAGAAATGTGGAGACTCCTTCAAATATGTCAGCCATAAAAGACCAAAACAAAACAAAAAACCCCCAGAATTTGTTGCAGATTCATTGGATCAAAGAGATGCCACAACCAAATGCAGCATGTGACCATTGGTTGGATCTTGGATCTTTAAAAAAGTATGTTGTCTTTTGTGTATGTATGTGTTAGGGAAATTTGACTATGGACTAAATATTAGGTAATATTAGAGAATTATTAATTTTAATGGGAATGACGAGAATTCCCAGTTATAGAGAATGCTGTTCCTATTAGGAGTTGCGTGCTGAAATACTCAGAAGTGCTTTTGTGATGTGCTGGAACTAGCTTTCAAACACTTGTAGTTGTTTTGTTGTTTTGGTTTTTTTTAGTACTGAGAATTGAACTCAGGTCCTTGTGCTTTTGAGGCAGGCACCAGAACCACTGAGCTAAATCCCCGGCCCTGCTTGTGGTAGAAATGGAGAGAGAAAAAGCAGATATGACACATTAACAGTTGGTGACTAAGTGGAGGATATACATGGTACGTTTTGGCACAATTTGTACATTTCATTATACCTTTCCACGTTTGAAGAAGCTTGAAATTGAAGTTAACTAATTTCAAAATAAAAATTCTAGAGAAAAATATAGGATGGAGGGTGCTGGCTACTTCCTTTCTTCCCTAGGAAGAGGCGTATTTTCAGAGTGACAGAACTAAACTCTCTGTCCCCCAGTTGGAGGTGCCTGGAAAGAGTAGCATCCAGTTTGAATGACAAGGGAGCACGGTTCAGTAGTCAAATGCGTGGCTAGCATGGAAAAAAAAAAGATTTAAATGATGATAAAGTGCAAAAGAAGTAGCATTCCTAAACCGTGAGTTTTTGTTTTTGTTTTATTTTTTGGTACCAGGGATCCAACTCGGGTCCTTGCATGTGCGAGGCAGGTGGCAGAACCACTAAGCTAAATCCCCCGGCCCAACTGTGAAGTTTTTAAATGTTACCCTATTTCATCGAGATGTGACTGACGTACAGAAAGATGCACTTAATCACACAACTCAGTGAGTTTGGCGAGAAGGTGCACACTGGTGAAGAGTCCCTGCTGTTCCTGCCTTCACCCTGTCCATCCCCTCCCGGTGTCTGCCCCCAGCCACTCATTATTTTTACAATCTGCCTTCTCCATATATCTCGAGTATACAGTGCCATACTGCCAACTCCAGGCACCTGTGCTGGACAGGAGGCCTCTTCAGCTTCCTCCTCATGCATACCCAAAGCTTCGTAATCTCTGCCTAACCCTTCCTGGGGCTCCTCTGGCCCTGCCCTGGCAGAACACACTGCACACTCCGGGTCTGCGCTTGACCATTTCCTATCAAACAAGTAGTCACTCGGAGGGTTTGAGTTTGGGTGCCTGGCTTGTTTCACTAAGCGTAATGTCTTCTGGGTCATCTGTCTTGTCACAAGTGACATTGTCTTCCTTTTTAAGGCTGAATAATATCTGGTTGCATTTGTACCCCGATTATCTGTACCCTGACCCATCAGTGGACATTTCTCATGCTTCTGGTCTTGGCTGTTGTGCTGCCGTGAACACAGGAGTGTGGGTATCTCTCAAGATCCAGGTTCTATTTCCTTTGCCTATGTGCCCACAAGTGGGGTTGGGGGATTGTGTGTCAGTTCTAGCTTTAACTTTTTTTGTTTTGGGGTTTGTTTGGTTTTTTTGAGATAGGCTCGTTAGGTAGTTCAGGCTGGCCTAGAACTTGCTGCATAGCACAGCGTGGCCTCAAATTTGCAATGATCCTTCTGCCTCAGCCTCCCAAGTGCTGGGATTACAGGAGTGTACCACACCTGGCTTGTTTTAACTTTTTTTTTTGGTACCGGGGATTGAATTTGGGACCTTGAACTTGCGAGGCAGGCAGTGGAACCACTGAGCTAAATCCCTGACCCCATATCTTTTATTAATGGAAATCATGAGATAGAATAGAGTCACAACTCTGAAAAATATGTGCTGTGGTACGTAGTTAACATAATACTGGAGACCCATGTTGGACAAAATGAAATATACTGCTGAGTGTGATGGCACAATTCGTGTAATCTCAGCGTTTGGGAGGCTGAAGCAGGAGGATCGCCACAAGTTCAAGGCCAGGCTGGGCTACATAGCAAGACCCTGTCTCAAAAAACAAAAAAAAAGAACAAAACAAAAAGATATTTTGAGAGAATGAGACCCCATTCACATAACTTTTTACATTGTAAGGTTTTTAAATTTTTGTTTTGTTTTTGGTACCAGGGATCAAACTCGGGACCTTGCACTCACGAGGCAGGTGGCAGAACCACTGAGCTAAATCCCCAGCCTTACATTATAAGGTTATAATTGTTACATTTTGTTATTTGATATTGTTAATATTTCACTGTAATTTAATTGAGAAATAAAACTGTGTCATAGGCATCTACGTATAGGAGACTGTAGCATAGATCTGGGACCACGACCAGCACCGCACCCCCTGGGGCCTTGGAATGGGTCCCCACGCTGGGGCTCCTGTCTGTTGGGGGGGCGTGTGGTACGCGAATGTGGTTAACTCCCAGTGACCGCCTGTGCCTTGCAGGTTTCAGAAGCCGGCTCTTCCACTCCTCCCCTGGGGCAAGGCTCACCTCTGCCAGACCTTCCTTCCCAAGGTAAATGCACCCTGCAGCCCCTCGGTCCCCTAGCACCAGCACCCCTGCTTAGCCATGGCTTCAGGTTCCATGAGTTTTGAGGGAGCCAGATGCCAGTAGTACCCGCTGTGTGACAGTCACACATGCCTCTGGTTGACAGAGGACATTCTGGGGATCACTGGTCACAAAACCAAAGTGTGAAAAATGGTGAGTCAGCAACATGCTGTTTCTGCGGGAGGCTCTGCAGCGCTGTTTGGGGCTGTGAAGGTCTGAGGCTCACGTCGCCGACTCATTGTGTGCCCAGTGACACCCTTTAGAGTTAACTAGGCCTTTGTGATTACAAAATCAATACAGGGAGCTGAGCGTGATGGTGTACGTCTGTAATCCCAGCCCTTAGGAGGCTGAGGCAGGAGGATCACTGCAAGTCCAAGGCCAGCCTGGGCTACACAGTGACATAGTGAGTTCAAGGTCAGGTTGAACCACACAGTGAGACCCTGTCTCAACACCCCAAAATTCACAACTCAGTGACTTTTAATATATTTACAAAGTTGTGTAAACATCACTGTATTTTTGGGGGGGAGCAGTACTGAGGATTGAACTCAGGGCATTCACACTGAGCTACATCCCCAACCCACTTTTAATTTTTAATTATTTTTTATTTAAAAAATTTTTATGGCACTGGAGGTTGGACCCATCAGTTCACAGATTGTTTCCGTTTTGGAGCCATTGTGAATAATGCTCATTTAACACTGCACAAGGTTTGTTTGTTTTTTCCTTAGTTTGTTGAGACAAGGTCTTGCTGTGTATCTCAGGCTGACCTTGAATTCACTATGTAGTCCAGGGTGGCCTCAAACTGGTGCTGAACCTCCTGCCTCAGCCTCCTGAGTGCTGAGATAACAGGTGTCCACCACCACACCTGGCTGGTACACATTTTAAGTAGAAACTTGTGCTATCCTTTTAAGTAAACTTTGAAATGAGGGCTAATATGGTTTTAAAAAGAAAAAACACCTCTACTAAGAGCAAAAGCAGCTGTTGGCGGCCAGGTGCTGAAGAGTAGCTAGGCTGATGTGAGTGCAGCTGTGACATTCCGGGCCCATTTTCTCTACTAGAGCAGCGTGACTGTGTCCTCTGTCCTGTTGGAGGCAGTGTCTCCTTACTGGGAGAATACGTGGTGAGCTTTGAGAACAGAAACACCTTGGGGATGGACTATGTGAAATAAGAGGGCCTTCTGCACCCAGAAGGAGCAGGCCAGAAGAGGGCAGCGTCAACCCTGAGCACATTCTCTTTCCTCTGGGAAGACAATTAGAAAGAATTGGTATGTAGTTTCTCTTTGCAAATGATGCAGAGAGAACTGGACTTTGCCACTTGCATTTTTACTTTTAGTCTGTGGCCACTATAAAATAATGTAGCTTTGAGTGGGGCATGGTGGCGCACGCCTGTGATCCCAGCGCTCGAGAGGCAGAGGCAGGAGGATCGCTGAGAGTTCAAGTCCAGCCTGGGCTACAGAGTGAGACCTTGTCTCAAAAACAAATGAACAAAAAAAGTGGCTTTGAAGTTACTATGAGAATACACATCAAATTTTGAAATTAGTGTAGATCTTTAGTTTCTTCAAGTATATAAAATACCAATAAAGTGACCTTTATGGTCTGGCATTATATTTTTTGTTTTGGTTTTGAGACAGTGTCTCTCTGTGCAGTCCAGGCTGGCCTTGAACTCACTGCATAGCCCACACTGGCCTCGAACTCAAAGCAGCCCTCCTGCAGCAGCCTCCGGAGTGCTAGGACTGCAGGCATGTGCCACCACACCTGGCCCCAACAATGTATTTGTGGGAAGGGATGAGGACTCAGGCCACCGGGTGTGCAGGGCACTAAATTGTGGTTTTTATGTTGTCTGAAATCCTGGCTCTGGCCAGCCCAGCTCTCAGCCAGCTCGTTTCCCACAGCAGCGCTCTCCCGGGGGCCACTCCTCCTCTAGTGTGGCTAAAGGATCTGTTTGGTAGATCTGCAAAGCAGTAAGTGATCCACACCATTGTCCACATTCTGAGTATTTTTATTCTGTAAGTGACCAGTAGCAAATCTGCGACTGGTTTCAGAAATCTCAACCCCGCTAGGGACCAACTGTGGTCCCAGCAGGCCCTCTAGGCATGTGGGGACTGCAGCTGGAGCGGAGACCATCGCTCCCCACGCTTCAGTGCCCAGCAGAGACCTGCACATGACCCAGGTGGTGGTGCACACCTGAGCTCCCAGCTATTCTGGAGGCTGAGGCAGGAAAATCATTTGCCCCCAAGAGTCCGATACCAGCCTGAGTAACAGAGCCACGCCCATCTCAAAACAAAAACAAAAATAATAGTAAAAAGCCCTCATCTCCATGACAGTTCTCCATTGTCTCAACATACTTGTTGAGTTAAATGAAAGCATTTGTTTTTAAACCCTAAACTGGTACCTCCTGTTAGAGGGTCAGGAAACTGTTCTAGAGGGAGGAGCTGGAGGAGGAAGAACTTTAAAGAAACTGTCTTTATTTTATTTTCATTTTCTCTCCTGCAGGGATTTTGCATTGGAAGACATGGATGTTATTGCTAATGAGCTCAGCATCTATGACAAACTTTCGGAAACTGTTGACTTGGTGCGGCAGACCGGCCAGCAGTGTGGCATGTCAGAGAAGGCCATCGAGAAGTTCATCAGGCAGCTGCTGGAAAAGAATGAGCCCCAGCGGGGGCCCCCCCAGTACCCCATGCTTATCACCATGTACAAGGTACAGATGTGGCTGGGAGCTCAGTGAGAACAGACGCCCTAGTGCCCTTCCAAGTACCAATCCCACGTCCAGCCTTGGTTTTCCTGTTTTTTTCTTTTTGAGACAGGGTATCACTCTGTAGTGCAGGCTGGCCTTGAACTCACAGTAATTGTCCTGCCTCAGCCTCCTGAATGCTGGGATCACAGGCATGTGCCCCCACACCCTGCCAAAAGCTGTGGATTTATAGTAAAGCTGTGTTTGTGTGTTTTTAAGTGGTGGATGTAGCCCCGGTGGTCTGGCAGGAGCCCTGCAGTGCTCATAGTTCTCCAGCTTTCCTGCCCTCAGAAGCAAAGCAAATGGCTTAGAGAGTGGGCTTGTTCCCAGGCATGGTAGAGACAGGCCCACTCGTTCTCAGTGTGCGGGTACTGTGCTAACCCTTCCACCTTTCCCTGCAGGTGCTCCTGACCCTGGCCTTAGTCTTGTTCCTTACCTACTTTGTGATCCAGCCTTTCAGCCCACTAGCACCAGAGCCTGTGCTCTCTGGGGCTCATAGCTGGTGCACGCTCATCCGCCACATCCGCCTCATGTCCTTACCTATCACCAAGAAATACCTGCCGGAGACCAAGGGCCCTGTCCTGCCCGCCGAGGAGGAGGACAGACACTTCGCAGGTAGGATGTCCATCACTACCCTTGAGATAGAGCTGTATGTGTGTTTTGTTTAGGTTTGGGTTTGGGTTCTTTGACAAAGGGTGTGCTGTGCAGCCCTGCCTGGGTTCGAGCTCACAACCCTCCTGGGCCAGCCTCCCGAGAGCTGGGTTACAGGCACACACCACCCCTCCTGGCTCTTGAGATCAGTTTTCTTTTTTTTTTTGGTACCTGGGATTGAACTTGGGACCTTGTGCTTGCGAGGTAGGCGCCGGCACCACTGAGCTAAATCCCTGGTCCTGAGATCAGTTTTCTTGACAGTATTTGATGAGAAAGGAAGTCATATTTACTGATAACTAATGAGAGACACCATTTCTATTTTGTTTTATTTGATTCAGACCCCACTGACACTCTAGAGGGTGGGTTTTATTATCCCTGTTTTGCAGAGGGGAAACTGAGGCTCAGAAATGAAGACGTTTGTCAGGGAAACACAGCTGGTGGAGTGTGAACCCCCGTGTGGGGGATAAATGCCCATCAGACGGATTTGACAGTCTCTTTCTCTGTTTTTCGCTCTCTGAGATCCTTGTGGGTAAAGGATATTTAGTAAATAGCTGTCATGTCTGACTCCAGCTTGCTCTGAACCAGACCCTCTCATCACCCTTCACCTGCTGTGGTGGGCTTTGCGTTAGGTGTAGCCCATTCTTTCAGCCCAGTCTGTCTGTCTGCCACATTTCGTGTGACTTAGCACTCATAGCGTGTCACTTTTGCCAGCAAATTGAATTTTTATTTATGTATGTATTTATTTATTTATTTATTGGTACCGGGGATCGAACTTGGAACCTTGCGCTTGCAAGGCAAGTGCCAGAACCACTGAGCTAAATCCCCGGCCCCTGAATTTTTAAAACACTTAAATTTAGTGATGGGCATGAGCAACAGTACAGGAATTCCCAATCTGATAGATCATTTGGCCATTTGAGGCCTTTTCTTGTGAGCATAGCACAGCATGTGATAAGACTTGAGATTTACTTCTTGAGAAAGAATAGAGGGATATTGTTTGGAGAATGTTTATTTTGTTTTGTTTTTTGGTACCGGAATCTAACTCAGGACCTTGTGCTTACGAGGCAGGAGAGCTGCCACTGAGCTAAATCCCTGGCCCCTGGAGAATTTTCAGAGAGGGAATTTTTTCCTCTTTTTAGTGCTAAGGCTCAAACCCAGGGCCTCATATACACTGAGTGATTGCTTTACCACTGAGCTGTACCTCAACCCCTTTTTGGGTAATGTTAACCTTATTTGCCCATATGAAGGGATATATACATTAAAATCACAAACAGAAGCTGGACATGGTGGCACATGGCCGTAATCCCACCACACAGGAGGCTGAGACAGGAGGATTGGTGCGAATTCGAGGCCAGCCTGGACTACATAGTGAGAACCTGTCTCAAAAAAAAAAACACACATGGGGCCGGGGATTTAGCTCAGTGGTTTCGCCGCATGCCTCGCAAGTGCAAAGACCCGAGTTTGATCCCCGATACCAAAAAAAACAAAAACCACAAATGGATTAGAGTTTTTTGTTTAACTCTGTTCTGAAATCTTTATGATCCAGGGTAACTTTTAGGAAATATGTTTTTAGAAAAAATGTACTAGATTAAGCTAAATTTTATAGTCATAATGTCGTTCTTGGGGCTGGGGTTTAGCTCAGTGGCACTGCACCTGCCTCGAAAGTACGAGGTCATGACTTGGATCCCTGGTACCAAAAAAAAAAAAAACAAAGATTACAATGAGATGCTACTACATAACTGTTCAAATAACATCATTCTTTAGGGCAAGACCTAATCAGTCATAAAAAATCATCTCTTGGATCGGGTTTCCTTTAGAAACTATTTTTGTACACTAGAGGAAGTCATGAAAAGACTTCCAAAGTTACATCAAAATTAGATGAAGGGAACATAAGAATTTAGCATCATGAGTTTCTGTTTTGTTTTTTTTTAACCAACAGCATAGGTATTTAGTTTTTGAATTCCAGATAGAACCTTTTGGTATAAATCAGGAAGGTTGTTTTTGAATTGTCATCAACAGACCTCAAAAAAGGAAGTTTCCAGCATTTTTCCCCCCTGAGGCAAGGTCTCACTGTGAGTCTGGGCTGATCTTGGACTGTCCATCCCTGCCTTGACCTCCCGAGGGCAGGAATTACAGGGTGCACCAACACCCCAGCCTTAGGAGGAGGATCAGGAGGTGTTGGGCAGCCTCAGCCCCTCAAGCCTTCCTGCCTGGCTTCCCTCGAGGCAGCTTCACTCTGCACAGGGGATGAAGCAGCAGGGCCTGGCTGGCGACACAGGCTTCCTTTCCCTGTAGGTCACTTTTTACCAAGTGAAGAGACAGGGCACGGACTGCGCCGTCTCTAAATCATAGTCTAAAATCTTAAGAAGCTTTGTGTCTTGTGGGCACCTCACATCCCTTGGCCCATTTGCCATGAGCTTTTTGCCCGCTGATGACATCAGATGAGTCCTTGGAGCTCGGCTGGAGGGAACACTGGCAAGGCATCGCTGTGGGCCTAATGTTGACTCTGTGCCTGTGCTGTTTTCACTGTGAGTGTGGACAGGCATCTTAGTTACTTTCTCGTTGCTGAGACAAAATACCAAACACCCACAAGTTAGGGGAAGAAAGGTTTATTTAGATCAATTCGGGAGAATTTTCTCGCCATAGTCGGCTGGCTCCAAGGCAGGGGGTCGTCACAGAGGAGAAATTCATGGCAAGCAAAAGACAGCAAAGCAAGCAAGCAAGGGACCTTGACAGCGTCTTTCTGCTCCATTTATATTCTATCCAGGTTACCGGGATTAGGGCAGTGCCGAACCAATCAGTGGACTGATTCAGTAATCACACACCCTTAATCCCACCATCACACAGTCCAGATGCAGCCACCCCTGAGGAAGCACCACCTGTGACGGCATGAGACAGTGGGGGCACCCAGACACAGCCATAACAACAGGGATGCACCGCATTTGCCCGGGTGTGACCTCCAGCCTTCCTGGTGGTGCTGCAAGAAACACTGAGATGCAGTGACTGCAGGGTTGAATAGGATCGGGTGCTGGGCAGAACTCTGGGGCTGAAGAGGATGAGAAAAGCAAAGAGGTCGTTTTTAATGTCTTGTACCATGTTACCGCCTTCTAGCCAGGCCTGCCTCGCAGAACCTGTGGGATAAATGCGGGGCACTTCTGTGGCACCCAGCCCTCCATGCAGATGGCACTGTGGCGCAGTAGAGATGCCCGGAGCCTCAGTGTCCTAGAACAGTGACCACGAACCTTTTAGAGACCAGTGCCCAAACTGTAGCCCAAAACCTATTTATCGCAAAGTGCCAGCCACAGTAAAACCTGAGTTCTGACACTCAGCTCCTGTGCCGATAGAGGGCACTGCTTGCCTGCTGCGGCATAGGTGCCTTAGGTTCACCACCACCGGCCTAGAGGAACTAGTACCAATAGAGGGAGGTGTCCTGACCCACCAGGGGAACAAATGCAAACAGAAGTGGGCTTCTTTTTCTAGGTTTCAGCCTCAAATAGGAAATCCTGCTCCTAAATCACTTTTTTGTGTATGCCACTGGGGATTGAACCCAGGGCCTTTGCACTGAGCTATATCCTTAGACTGTTTTATATTTTTTGAGACAGAGTCTCGCAGAGTTGCTCAGAAGGGACTTGAACTTGCAACCTGCCTGCCTCAGGCTCCCAAAGTGCCAGGATCACAGGCATGCGCCACTGCGCCTGCTCTGTAAGCCTCCTGAGAGGAGCAGGGAGTCACACAGGGAGCATGTCAGTAACTGATGTCCAGTGCCCACCGAGGTTTTCACAGGACTTTCCTGTAATGGCCATGACTCCCCAGAAACCCTGGGGATGGGCCCCAGGGTGATGGCCACTTTATAGACGGAGGCACTGAGGCACACACGGAGGGTGAGAGCCACTATGCCCCATCTCAGAGTCGGAGCTCAGAGCCACACACACTGTATCCAGGGTCAGCTTCCAGGTGGATTTGGGGTTCTGTGTGCCCTCTTAACTTCTAATCACCAGCGCTTTCTCGTGGCTCCCAGAGCCCGCGCATGCGAGGTGCTTTCCGGCTGGTGGTGCAGTTCCAGGCCATGGGCCTTCAGAAGCCACAGAACTCAGCCTAGTCACCTCCAGGCTATGCCCTACTGGGGGACACCTGACTTCGTTTTTTCTCTGACTAACCCATGATTGTCCCTTCGCCCTCACATTCTTATTTCTTTTTTCTTTATTCTCCTGGCCTCATAATTATTTTGTTGTTGTTGTTGTTTTGAGATGATCTCATTAGGTAGTCCAGGTTGGCCTTGAACTCACTGTCCTCCTGCCTCAGCCTCCCATGCAGCTGGGATTACAGGGGAACACTACCACACCTGCTTCTGCCTCATAATTTTCATATCCATTTTGTGTCTACCAGTGACAAAATGGCTTTGTGTCATTTCCATGGAACCTCTGCATCTCGGAGCTATACAAGGAACTTTAAAATTATTCTAGTTTCGCTGGGGATTTGGCTCAGTGGTTCCACCACCTGCCTCACAAGCTAAGGACACGAGTTCAATCCCCGGTACCAAAAAAAAAAAAAAAGTTATTCTAGTTTAGGGGCCAGGGATGTAGCTCAGTGGCACTGCGCCTACCTTGCAAGCGCAAGGTCCTTGGTTTGATCCCCGGTACCAGAAAAAGAAAGAAAAAATTACTGTAGTTTATACCCCATTTTATAAAAGGGGCCAGAAGAGACGAATGAGCTCACTTACCCAGCTGATAGTCATACTGGCACTCAGCCCCACTCTGACCACGAGCCCAGCACGTCCATGCCACACTCAGCTGCCTCAGCCAAGTGGGCTCCTGCATTTTCAGCCATGTGACCCTGTTACCCCACCCCACCCACTTAGCCTAGGAGGCCTGGCTCAGCCCTGCATGCAGAGGGAAGCTGTGTGTGTATTGCACGATGGGAGCTCTATACATCCACGGGCTTCAGGACAGGGTGATCCAGCAACACCA